ACACTTTTGAACTGAAATTGAAACAATTAAATATATTTTTAGAAGATGTGTATATAATGTAATATTATATTATGTAGACGAATACTATATAGATCTAGAGAGGTGGACATACATGTTTTATTAATTTGTTGTGCAGAAATCGTGGAGCGTGTGAAAGAAGGCCCGTCACCTGGTGGTGTTCCTTTCCGGCCCAGCGTGTCTCAGCTCAACTGCGAGCTGTACATCCTGGATACCCTCAAACTCTGTCTGGACGAGGACCCGGAGTTGAGACCCGACTTCAAGACTTGTAGGAAGGCTCTCAGACCCATGCAGAAAGGAATGTGAGTACTGTTCTGATAACTGTAAATCTAAGTATTCAATTACCAAAGTATGGACTAGGCAAACTATCACAAAGTGCACGAGAGCTGCTGGTAACTGTAAACAATTCTAGGTAATTGCATGTCAACCTCTTAGTCAATGGTGACATCTCGAGGTATTCCAGGTTAATATAAATGTTTTATGCTTATGATGACTTAATCCATATAATTAGGGAAGCTGGTTGCTTACATGATGTCTGCCACTGTGTACTGGGACTTCGTTGAATGCTTCCAAACCAAAAGACCGAGTTAACAAATAAGATATCACACCCACACAAGAATAGAACTCATGTAATTCACTTGCGAGGCGGACAACGTAGTTTTTGTCATGTGAATACTGGGGAGAATAGTTTTCTATAACTGCGCAATACAGGTGTGTGGTGGGTGTTGTGTGTTATTTGTGCACTGGAAAAATCAGCTCATGCTTTTCTGAAAAATCGTGTCTCTACGATGTCCAAGAAAGTATAGATTATACGTACAGACAGGTACATATTGTAAAATACAAATAATTTTGTCCTACTCATGTAGTCACTTACGTGCATAGACATAAAGCGTGTTAAAGATTTCGAATGAGCGTCAGGGCCTACTATTTTTCTGTTGTTTAATTATTCTCTAGCTTATGTTATATTTGCTTTTCAATTAAAGTAAAGGGAGAGTTGGGAGATGGGATTTTATTACGGCTGTGTTCCAGACACGATGTACTCCACTTACCATATACACGAGGAGTCAATTTCGGCGTAAAAGTCACTTCCTAGATTAGTTCGTGTCGTTGAATCATAAAAATGGTTCCACTGAAACAGATTCCAATCCTTTTTAACCAGCTTTTAGATCCCTTTGCAGTTATCACTCTTCTGAATGTGAAGCACTTTCATTATTGTTGGGGCCCATGTTTTCCCAGGCGCTCCAACATCTTCGACAACATGATGCTGCTCATGGAGAAGTACGCCAACAACTTGGAGTCTGTGGTGGCCGAGCGAACGGTGGAGCTACACGAGGAGAAAAAGAAAACAGAGACATTGCTCCACAGGATGCTACCCACGTAATGCTTTGGGGGCTTTTATTCTGTTGTTTAGTGGTTTGTGGTTTGTTTATGTTAGGTTTGTTTGAGCTTATGAGTTTTTTCTTTTTTGAACTTTTTCTCCTTTTTTTCTTTTTTTTGAGGGGGGGGGGCTGGGGGGAGAAGGTATCGGATACCCTCTTGCATGCGCACAATCTGAGGATGTGTACACCCTGTGTGTATTTCGGTTCATCTCTATTTTTTCTAACCTGAAAAGCGTTTACCGCCTAAGACATCTGGACAGAGACAAGAGTATGTGCTGACAATAGCTACAATGTCTGTTTCATCGAGATCATGGTGTTATCGTTTTTCCACCCCCACAAATCGGGAATTGCACTCCCTCTCAGAAAGTTAGTACACTCTTTTTATTTCCTGACCCGAGAACAGGTTGGATGTAGTATGGGTCTGCATAGATCTGCAGACGTTCCTTTTGTCTTAAACATAACCCCGATTTCTAACTGTTTTTGTTGTTTTATAAAATCTTTTTTTCAAATGTTAACTTTTAACCAATTGCTCTCCTTCCATCGTTTTTCTGTTCTCCTTTCCCTCTTTCCTAAATTTTGCAGACCATTTTTTCAATCACTTTTTGTCATTATGGAGTTTTTTAAAATATAGCTGTTTGACGTCTTATTCTGTTTTCTAATCTACTAAAAGATGCTTCTGAAAGGATAATCAGATCCGTCGAATCAAATTCGAGTAAAAAATTATTCCAATATTTGAGATTCATCTTTATTTGTTTTTTAACAGAGCGCATGTGTGTGAATTTGTTTGTGTATGTGTATGTGTGTGTACGTTTATGTGTGTGTGTGTGTGTGTGAGAAAGAGAGAGAAAGAGAGAGAGAGAGAGAGAGAGAGAGATGGAGTGAGGGAGGGAGGGAGGGAGGGAGGACGAGAGACAGAGAGGGACGAAGAGAGAGATTGTGTACGCGCTCGAGAGAGAGAGAGAGATAGATAGAGTAAGAGAGAGAGAGAGAGAGAGAGAGAGAGAGAGAGAGAGAGAGAGAGAGAGAGAGAGAGAGAGAGAGCGATCTTTCGTGTTTTATTTACATTTTGTTTGTGTATGAGTGTGTGTATTTTTAAAATCAAAGTGCAGTCCAGTGTTGACAACATACCCGAAACGTATATATTCAGTGGCGGTGGGTAGTGAAGGGCTTACGAGCTTGAGCCCCTCACCCCCACCCCGTCCCCACCCCAACTTTATCCCTTAGTTAATGAACGTTTCTAAAATAACGAAATAAGCAGTTGAAACCTTTATGATCGCGCGCAATGAACACACAGTTATCAGCTTGGCGGCTTTCCCGTTTGTCCAATCATTGTTGTCACCGCTTGCAACAATAGTAACCTAACAGCCAATCAAATGTCGTTAGGGCTCATAAAGAACAAGCTGGTTCCCACGCCCGTCTTTAATGAAACTCTTCTTGTAAAAAGGTAGAAGATGTTTTAAAAATAACACTGCACAGGGGGCTCACGCTCTCCCAGCCCTGACAATGGGGTGAAAGTTTACGACACACTTTCCCCCAGTGACACAGATACCTATGCGCCCATTGGGCCTTTGTTAGGCGCGTTCTATTTTCAGCAACAACACGACCCAATCCACCTCATTGACGGTATGTGTTTGGAGAGCTGTGTGTTTGAGCCGCTGAGATTTAACAGTTGTTAATTACATCAAACCACTTTTGAGGCAACTTTTTCTTCAGATAAAAACTAATTAGAGAAATTTGGAGGTGAAACGGCTTCGTCCCCGCCATCCAGAAGAGCTTAAATTTAACTAAGAACAAAGAGATGGAAGACAAAGGTGACTCTTCTCGTTTGAATGGTTCTCAAAATGCCGTATCTCGCCGTGAGTATAGAAAAATAATCACATTTTGTTCTTATTGCTTGCTTTTTGGTGGTAAAGAAGTGGAAGAAATCTAAGCCCCACCCAAATCTTGGTCCACCCGCAGCCACTGTATATATCTATTTCTTTCGATTTCAGGAGTGTGGCAGCTCAGCTTGTGAGAGGCCAGCCTGTGATCCCAGAGGCCTTTGATTCCGTCACCATCTACTTCAGTGACATATGTGGCTTTACTGCCATGTCGTCCCAGAGCTCGCCTCTACAGGTACTACATATGGATATTTCTTAAAAGCGGAAACGTGTCATGTTTAGAATGAAGTGTAACTCCTGACAAGAAGCAATGTAATTCTTTCCAAAGGGAAGAGCTCTTAGAAAAAGAAGAAGAAGAAGAAGAAGAAGAAGAAGAAGAAGAAGAAGAAGAAGAAGAACAAGAAGAAGAAGAAGAAGAAGAAGAAGAAGAAGAAGAAGAAGAAATAGTTCATCCAGAATGAACTGATCATGACCTTTAACGTCCAAGGGAGAAGTGAGTCTGTAAATCTTACTCGCTATAAAAGTAAAATAAAGTAATCAACGATCACAAATTCTCTGCCAGTCAGTCACATTGGTGATAGCAGAACCTGCAAGTCCTCTTAACCCTTACGTCTTTCTGTTTGATTTTTTTTCTGCACTGGTCATTGTCAGACATTGACGGGGGAACTATTATAATTATTATATCTCATTGTGTATTCTTTTGTTTTGTATCACCTTGTTGTATGCATCGTTTCGTATCATATTCCAGATCGTGGATATGCTGAATGACTTGTACACACTTTTTGATCACATCATCAAAGACTATGACGTGTACAAGGTGGAAACTATTGGGGACGCCTACATGGTGGTCAGCGGACTGCCCAAGACGAACGGCAACAGGCACGCCGGCGAAATCGCCTCCATGTCCCTCAGTCTTCTCACAGCTATCAAACAGTTCAAGATCCGCCACAGACCTGACGATATTCTCAAACTTAGGATTGGGATCCATAGTGGTAAGCATACGCCGCACGGCTCTGTAGGATCGAGTCGAAATGTTTTCTTTATAGATGGAATTTTGTCTCTTGTGTTTCGTCCCAGTCACACTTTCAGTCAGGGACACTTGGAGCTCCAGGTGTGGGGCTGTCTCCCTTTGCTCATGTTTGTTCTCCTTCTGGTATGGAGTGATAATTTAGGCACGCTATCTGCTAGACATGATTTTCAGCTTTGAGTGCAATTTGAGCCTGAATGACTTTTTTCATTCTTCTTGGCACATTTCCACTTTGTCCAATATTCTCAAGAAGGACAAAGTGCCCCGTCATACAAAATAAATCTGCTTGGTGTTTAGAGGTTCCTTATACCTTTACAAAAACCGCGAAAATGCAGCAACGTGAACATTTACACGTTTACCAAAAACGACAGAAACCTCATCAATAATGAATGCACTATAAATTCTATTGGACTTTCAACGAAATTTTAAGCAGGAAAATGAATTTGTCTTGGCCTTTTCTCCCTATATCTGTCTCTTTATTTAAAAGTGGTACACAATTTAGTGCTCGAAAATTGAACTGTTGTAGCTCGCCCACTTTGTTGATTTGGTGTGGTGTCAGACTTCAAGGTGGCTGCCGCTGGTTCGATTCCTTGTATTTAATTGGTTTATGGAATTTTCATGAGCACAATTATTATTCCACCTGGAAAAGTCTTTCGGGGGATGAGAGTTAAATCGCAGGTCCCGTCTGACAAGACGTTTTCCCGTTGTTGTATTTTAAGTGGCGTTAAACTCTTAGAATAATATTGAAACGCATTCTTCGGACGTTCTTGATGGGTTTTTTTCTGTTCCATAGGCTCTTGTGTGGCTGGGGTGGTAGGTCAGACGATGCCCAGATACTGCCTTTTCGGAGACACCGTCAACACTGCCTCTAGAATGGAGTCCAACGGAGAAGGTAAGCAAAACAACCATCTATACGCAAGCGTTTCTAAACAAGAAGTGCTTTAATATAATAACCAGGAGAAAGTATTTAAATGAAGCAAACTGGACAAAGCAAGCAGAATGGAACTAGCAAACTGAAGCAAACAGAGAGACATAAACAAAGAAAAGCTACCACAGCAAAACGGGTCAAACGACGTGTGCAGAATGAGAATGTTGAATGAATAAGTGAGCACAAACATTGAGATATTACGATTAAAATAGTATAATTTCAGAAAAATCTGCTGCTTGATTACGAGCTTTTGTTTAAACCTTTGCAGATCAAATTTCAGACAGGATAAAATCATGAACTACAGTGCTTTTTAAATGATTATGTCGGTTGACATACATTAAAAGTTGTTTCTTTGGCCTTCGCAGCCCTCAAGATCCACGTTAGTGGGAATTGTAAGGTTCTCTTGGATGAGCTGGGCGGCTACACAGTGGAGAAACGTGGACATGTTCACATGAAGGTAAGGGGAATGGAAGAGGGGCAGGGTGAACAGGCCCAGTTTGTAGTTAAACGTCTGTTTGCAGTTCTTTAAAATTTAAGTCAAGTCAGTTCAATTTTCACTTATCTCTCTCTCTCTCTCTCTCTCTCTCTCTCTCTCTCTCTCTCTCTCTCTCTCTCTCTCTCTCTCTATCTATCTATCTATCTATCTATCTCTCTGTATATATATATATATATATATATATATATATATATATATATATATATATATATATATATATATGTCTCTCTCTCTCTCGCTCTTTCTTCACTTCTCTCCCTCTCCCACTCCTTCTCCTCTATTTCTCTCTTTCTCTCTATTTCTTTCATGACCCTCAGTCTCTATCTTTCTCTCTCTTGCTTACTCCCGTCTCTATCTCTCTCTCTCTCTATCTCTCTCTCTCTCTCTTTCTCTCTCTCTTTCTCTCTCTCTCTCTCTCTCTCTATCTCTCCCTCTCTCTATCTCTCCCTCCCTCTATCTGTGTGTGTGTGTGTGTGTGTGTGTGTGCGCGCGCGTGCATGTGTGTATGTGTGTGTCTGAGTGTGAGTGTGTGAGTGTGTGTGGGGGGGGGGGGGGGGATGTGCGTGCGTGCGTATATTTTTTGTCATTGTGGCTTTCTGTTTTGTCTACTTATTTGCTATAAACGAATTGTTCTAACTGAGCCAGTCGCACTAAAGGTACCATGATTCCCCTGTAATTGAGCTCATGTTTCATACTATAAATGTTACACTCATTCATTTTAGACCCACCCTCTTCGAATGTAGTACTAATATTTTACTGACACTGAATAAACCCGTAAACAGTTAGTATACCCCTTCTTTTAGCAGAGGTTAGCCCCTAAAGGTTTATCTTTGTAATTAATAGTATGTTGTATTTGAGTTAATTTATAACCTATGATATCGTTCATTTTTTTATTTCATATTTACTCCAGCTACTTCATTACACACACCCAACTCAACATGATGTATTTGTGCTTGGCACGGTGTTAAATTCATTAAAACATATTTAAAAATTAATTATTTGATTTTCTTACTGATCCGATGAATAGTGTCTGTTTCCTGGGTGATACAAAGCACATTAATTTAAGAAAAGCAGAATTGCCCCATCTTTCGCCGCCAACAAAGACGGTATGTGCTATGCTTCGCAGAAAGTTAGATTTCTATACAAGGAAAACAGAGACAAGTTACGCTTATAGTTTATTGGAGTGATTTGTTGAAAGGTAACACAGGAAGACCCTACATCTTTACTCTCCCTCAGTATCTCTATTTTTCTCCTTTCTAGATAATTAGTGAACAAAATTGAGTCGATTTTGTGTTTCTCTTTAGCGCAGACTAATCTAAGTTGTCGTTGGTCCTTGCAGGGTAAAGGGGACGTACTGACATACTGGTTGCTCAAAGAAGACGTCCAGGTCCGAGAAAAACGCGCCCGTCATTCCGACGACAGCGGCGTACAGACAGACGTCCTCACTGAGATCACCAACACTGGAGGCTATCACAAGTCACCCAAAGACATCGTAGACCACAACTCCGCTCTCATCCCCTGTCTGCGCTCTTCATGCAACCTGCTTCACAACCAGAGAGATGAATTGGCAGGCAGTAACATACTCTTGCCTGCCACGCCACAGAGAACACACAGCGCGAGATTTTACAGAGAGTACGCGCGTGCCAGATCAAGGAATTCCGCTTGCAGCATGTCAATGGATGCTGACATAGGAACAAGCAACGTAAACATTAAAACTGCGTGCTGTAGCGTGCAGATAAGCGACTCGGCCCATCATGAGCCGGTTGTGGACAGCGCTGTTCAGAATGGCAAACCGTCTGCCGTATCAACCCCACCCGGTGCGGCTCAGGCTTCGCCGAGTATGACGTCAGACACGCCAGGTGTAACTGTTTCCGTGACGCAATGGATGATGAACGATCCTGGCGGTTCACAAACTTCCTTGAGCGGTTCTGCTCGAACTCCTAAGTTTCTCAACGATGCAGGGCTCGGGGGTCGTGACCTCAGCGGCTATCAAGATGTTAAAACCGGGCAGTGGGTGGAAAAACATGCCGACTTCCGGCCTAACCTAGCCCTGAATCGTGACGCTAAACCCAGAACGAAATCCGAGAATGTGTTCACTGCAAACTGTAAGGCGTTTGTGCGGAGTTTGCCAGGTAAGAAGAAACATAAAAGTAAAAATATGACTACCCCGAGCAGTACACCCAAGGTGGAAGAACGCAGATTCTCCACCCACTCCCCTGCCCTACGGCACAGAGACGGGTACAAAACGTCCCCAACTTGCTTTTCGGTTCCACAATATGACAACTTCAGCTCGGAATCCACAGATATTCGCTGTTTCAGAATGTCTCCCCTGAATTCGGATACCGCCTCTAACGCTTCGCTCCACAACCTCAGCCCCGAGTTTGAATACCAAGAGCCCCCTTCAAAGAACAATGAGAAATCTATGTATCTGCCGCTCGTTGAACAATTCCGGCTTGACGAGAGCAGTCACCCAAGCACACCTGGTCTGTTGTCGCCGCCACCGCCACGAACCACCGGTTCCGCTCTATCGCATTCTAGCGGTGGCTCAACGGACAGCACCAGCGCTACCCTCATCAGCAACAACAACAACAACTACAACAACCTCAACAACAGCAGCTGCAGTGGCGGCAACAATAGCAGTAGCAGTACTGGAAATAGCAACAACAATATCATGAGTAACAACAGTGGTCTGAAAAGGAACAAAATATATCCGATATTAACTTCAGTCCCCGTGGAGGGGCCAGAGAGCCCCCGTGAGTACACGAATAGGGGATTCTCAGACGATGCTCCAGCCTCACCCAGCAAACAGGTGTACGCTGTGACATTTTCTGATGACACCATGATATAGTACCGGTACATTCCCTGCCTCAGATTCCCTACAGTCACCGGTATCCGACCCGAGATGGGGCTGAACTATATTTTGCCGTGCACGCAAAAGACAATTGTTGGATTACTATGTGAGAACATTGTGTTAGTCTGCATCTTCAATTCTCTACTGCGATAGATCCCATACAACTTAGATTGGCTCTTACAGATAGGTCAAAGCAACAGACCCCTTAATGTTTTAAGTTGCGTCGATAGAGACGGGAACATTTTACTCGCTCATTTTCGTTAAAAATAGTTTGTAGGCCGAACTCTCATAGCCGTAACCTTCGACTTTAAAAAAAACCCTATTCTACATTTGGCAATTTATCCATGATTCTGACTTTCCGAAAAAAAAGTGTCAGTTTGCAGTTGAGATGAATTCAAAGGCATACCAACTTATCTACCTTTCTGACACAACTAAAAACGGTGCACTAGTGTACTGTCGTCATTCTTTAAAACTTTGTTCTGTCAGATATAAACCTTAAATCCTAAAGTATGTAATTTCTTGAAACAGGCGACGCTAAGTTTATATCAACTTGTACGCATTCTAAATCATCTGTGGTTTATCGAAATATTGTCCAGGCATCCTTGTTTTCACTTCAATTTTAGAACCGCTCAATACTTACATAACCGATTACATATTTTCCCCAAAAAAACAACAACAAAGAAACTGAAATCTCTACCTTACCAACATCCCTTCATGACTGGAAGACCAACTACTACTCCATGAAAGTGAGAAAAAACAAATATTGTGCATATCCCTATTTCTGAATTAAACTATACAGATTCTTTGTTTTTATCTAATGTCAATGGTCTGATTTTCAAAAGTAAAAGACGTATGACGGAGGAAGGGGGGGGGGAGACAACTGCTGCTTTACCTAACTGAAAAAGTCGATATTGATATTATTTGTTTATATTGTAGAGTACAGATTTTTTGGATACACCCTCCCAGTGGGTTTGTGTTCGAATTATACAAATACATGATGTTTACTCTGTGTGACGAGGGGGGTTTATTTTCGTGTTTTTTTTAAACAAATTTTCTTCCGGTCCACGCTTAATTTTTCAAGTTTAAATTACTTATTTTGTTGTGAAAGCTCAAAATTTTAACATCTACCTCTGTTCTTCAGCTGCATAAATTCCATGTTCACAATAATTATCACCGTTGTCATTCACTGCATTATCACCGTCGATTTCATTACCATTTCTTGTAAAAAAAATTTACATAATATGTAAGTTGTAAGTCTTAAATAAAATACTTTTTATACAATAACATGAAGTAGGGATGACACTTGCTCAATGTTTTGTCTCACTTTTAGAGACTTTCAGGAGCCAATAACAAAAGTACTTATTTTGAAATGTGAAGTGTGCAAATAAGAGAAACTACTAGTATGACCTGTCCATCATCATCATCATCATCATCATCATCATCATCATCATCATTATCATCATCATCATTATCATCATCATCATCATCATTATCATCATCATCATCATCATCATCATCATCATCATCATCATCATCATCATCATCATCATCACCATCATCACCATCATCATCATCATCGTCATGAATAACATCTTTTATTTTAATATGTTGTCAGTGTATATAGATTTTACTAAAATTGTATTGAAATGGTCATTCTTCTTTCCTCGTTTTGGGCATTTTATATGCTACAACTCATAGTAAAAACAAAAAGAAATTTCTCTAGTTTTATAGTCTCTGAGTCACGCAATTACCCGGCACATTCATTTCGTAACTACCACGTATTTGAAGAACTATTTCAGATTAAATTTTGTTTTCTTACATTATCCAAAATCTTTTATCAGTTTATAATCCCTGCTAGAGGTCACGTTTTCCCAAATGCTGTGAAGCGAGCTGTAAATAGCGCTACCAATTACTTACTTTGCTACGAATGCATCTAATAGTGATTTATTTTTGATTGTTTTGTACATATTTTTGTATGCTGGTGTATTCCGTTGCGAAGCAGCTACCTTCACTCTCAAATATGTCTGTTTAGTAGCAACACCAAGTATTCATCAGCAAAAATCCATTTCCATTAGATTCAAAGTAGCTCATGAACACAATAGTAAAATGTTGTAAGAATTACGAGGATTTTAATGAAAGTAGTGTCTTTATTTATTTTTATTTTTTTTGTTTTGCTTTATGGCAACTCCTCATCTTTAGTGCAACGGTTAAATTGTTTGTATAATACATTACAAACGAAATTGATTTCTGTCGTAGGGGAAGGGGTGTAGATATGTTTTTTCGAGTCTCTAATACAGTTTCAATCCACATTGCCCCTGACGTGCATTAAAGTAGAAATCCCTAGCCACAAGAAAGTGTCACTATTGTGTCGAAATTGCCGCGAAACAAATAACAATGACTAATATTGTTGAAACTGAGTATGTCTGTGCGCATAAGAAAGTAATATTAGTACCTGAAATGTCACTGATTAATCAACAGAAAGTTCTTTTAATTTTTTTTCTTCTTTGAAAAATTCAGGAGCTACATCGTGAAAAGATATGGATCCCTCGGGGGGAGACGGAGAGTTGTTGTTTTGAACGGTGGTGAATTCTTCCAATAAACTATAAATTTTGTATTTGTTTTATACAAACTGCGCAGTGTGTCACTATTTTTGCTTTTGTCCATTTCTTCGACACCTGACTTTTCTGATTCCTCATGTGCATGTTTTGGCGTCAGGCGCGAAATCATAAGATCATGGTTCCAATTGGTGGTTTTCCAACACAGGGCTTATTTTTTCCAAGTGGTGACTTTATTTTGTAATCACCTCTCCATGAATGTCTGTGGTGTACGATCAGTCTCTTTACCATACAGGCGGAAGACGCAATGTTGGTTTTCAACATAAAAATGTTGTCTAGTATCTCTGTCTGTAGTACTGCCGTACGCCCCTCAGCCCTTCCTCCCAATTATTTAAATTGAGTCGATAACAGCGCGAGACATTTTACAATTAATTGTCCCACTCGAAAAGGGTAGGCTAACGTGCAATTATTACCATAATCATGTTAACAATCTGTGTAAGTTCTCAACGTACAGAACGCAGGATAATATTGACGTGTGCTTCAAGGCGCTTAGATGGCGTCAGTTCTAAATAAATCACGGAGAGTTTTACATGTAGTTGGAGTCATACAGCTATACAAATAGTATCTACTTCATTACAAATTTGTAACAGGATTTGCGTTGATCAGCAAAATTGAGAGGAAATAAACCAGACTTTATTAATGTTTGTTCATGTTAATGAACTCGTTTCTTAAGCCGCTTTTCAACGGAACAAAGACCAACATGAAAAAACACTTGGTCCTGTTTGACTTACTTAAACCGATTTGATTCTTGTCCTTGCATATTATGTTCATAACTGTTGAAGAATTATACAATTATGTGACTTTTCGTCTTTGCTTTGCTACTGGTAGGTACAATAAAATGCATGTAATGTCATCGGAATGTTTTCATGACTTTTAACATATTTATTTTTCTGTTTGAATCATTGATCCATGCTGTCAATTCAGTAGTTGATATCTGCGTCAGCAGAGGGATTTGTGTAACCAGTTCGTTTCAGTTTCAACTAACGTTATTTGTTTCACCTGCAAACTATACTCTCTCTCTCTCTTTCTCTCTCTCTCTCTCTCTCTCTCTCTCTCTCTCTCTCTCTCTCTCTTTCTCCCCCCCCCTCTCTCTCTCCCTCTCTCTCTCTCTGTTCGTCTCCGTCAATTTGTATGCCTCTTTTTTATGTTCTTTTTTTCTGCCTTCTTTTTCACACTTCAGCTCTCGTTATCTTTCTGTCCCTTTGACATTACCTGTACTACCTGTGACGATAGGTTCGCTATCTTACTTTCTTTTCTATCTTTCTCTCACAATTGAAGTAGAACCTATTAATTCTCAAAGGAGTAAAATTCTGAAAAAAAATATGTTTAGAAAGACAAACAAGGTTTAAGTATAGATTGCTTTTGTTTGCAGTCCACGCTCTGTTCTGAATTACAGTTGAAGCGTCTTGCTTAATAACAGACCAAAGGTGATAACCCATTAGAAACTGTCGTACTGATGTGGCTTGCATCTCTGTCTAAATCTGTATGAACTAACAACTCTATCACTGGGATAACTAGGATATATGATACAGATGCTTTAAGACCTTGTCGTTGGGCCGAAGAAGGGTCAGAAAAAAAGAAATTATAGATCAAAACTTGAGTGAGAGATATCGAGAGAAAGAAAGAAAGAAAAAAAGGGAGAGAGAGATAGATTGAGATAGATAGATTGGGAGAGATAGATTGAGAGAGGGATAGAGAGAGAGAGAGAGAGATGGATAGAGAGAGAGAGAGAGAGGGATATAGAGAGAGAGAGAGAGAGAGAGAGAGAGAGAGAGAGAGAGAGAGAGGAGAGAGAGAGGGGGGGGAGAGAGAGAAATGATCTGCCTTTATATTAGAAAATAAATATTAACTAAAAAGTGTAAGCAAAGGAAACCCGCTGTGTGTACAACTACTACTAATAATAATAACTGATAGACCGGCTGAAGCAATAAATCTCTGCAACAATAAACTAATATAAATCCATATTATGCAACACGTTACATTGCTCTGCAACTTATTTATTATAAGCCTAAGCTGTGACGCTTCATTGTGTGTTAAAACTGTAATTCCATGTCGTGCGTGGTACCTTTGGAAATATTTCCTTCCCAGTTTTGCTTTGGCCTTTATCGGATTGCTCTGACCATTTCTCCACAACCTCCTTTGTTATTGGCGATTTGTCTTTCTGTTTTCGAACCAGGCTTGTGATATTAAGTTCCATGTAACTTATTTATGGCACTGATACTTCCTCACTTTTTTGTCTAAGTATAATCCGGAAGCCCAAGAAATCCCTTTCTGTCTCATGTCAATGTGTTCATTCTCACTAATAAAGCAGAACTGACTTCTTGGTATTGCAACATTTCTTAATGTTTGTCGCCTTTAATGTTGATTTACAATGTATATAGCAGTGTTTTCGTTGTGTAACCCAGAGATCGGACTTAGTGAGTGAGTTGCTTCCGGGGGCAATACGTTCGGATTTCTTTTTAAACGTTTACTTACTTAGTTTCTAGATTGTTCGAGAAAAAACACCAAAAAATTACAACAGTGTCCAAGCTTTTAAACGCTATCTAGTTAAAATGTTTCCTGGTTGAATATTTCCGATATTTTTTCTACGAGTTGTAAACAACAGCTCAACAAAGTTTTGCACTTAACTAAATGCTATCGAGGAAATGATCTCGCTTTTCAAGACAAATGAGGAATTGGTCGCTTTTAAGGACATGCGGGCTACCCCAGATTTCGGGGGTTTCCAGAAATCTTGGCCTTCACCAAAAACGGGGCATTGTCCTACCTATAGAAGAAGTTTGGTTTCATTGGTGTGTTTATTTCTTTGGTTATAGAGAAAACTTCCTTGTCTTTTATAGAAACTAAACATGGGGCAAAAACTTCACTTTCGATTTTCTCAAAGCAGCATTTTTCGGGATAGCCCCCTTGTGCTCAAAAGCGACCAATTATGAACATATTGTCATGCTCTGATCCATGCCAACTCGGCCTAGCGAAGATGGAAATGGTACTGTCGTAGATTAAGATATATGCCATGAGAATGCAGACTATTGATGTGTAGGAAAGTCCTAGTTGCAGATCGTCTATGGACAGACATCTCATGGGACTCGACTACAGAAATCTGCACCCTGGTGACGTTTAAAGGGCTGTGCGTGGTGCGTGTTCGACCTGAAGTGTTCATTTTAAAGAAAAACAATTAAATTCTGATTTACTATAGATCCAAACTGACGGAACTGCTTTATTCATGACACCAAAGGTCTTGAGGGCACCTAAAGCATTCTCTCCATGCCGTGCAGAGAACTTACGAAATATCAAGGATGGTGAGTTTGTGGAGAGGTAATGTTGAATACAAAACGTTCTTAGCTCTTTACTAAAAGTAACCATGATCTCAGCAGGTAAAAGAAATTTGGAGTAAATAATTTGTGCAGACTTCTGTTGAGCTGTTAGACTGCTGTACCTTGCAATTTGGAGCGATTGTTGCAACTTTTAGAGGTAGACCTACTGCGAACTGTAGCGTCATGCTATGAAAATGGCGACAAGGTAGAAAATGGGCTGTTTTTTAATGTACCATAACGAGCAAAAGCATTTTATGGACTTTTCTAAAATTGATATCAGACAAATTCCTTTTGGCTTCCAAATGTTAAGTTAAAATCTGAAAAGCAAAACTTCAGTATGAAGGAAGATATTTACAAAGCAAGTTGTACAGTTGTTGTTTTGTTGTTGTTGTTTGTTGTTTTGTTTTTTGGATCACCCTGAATAATACGAACTTCAAAGTACAGGGTAATTTAAAAAAACACAACTAAACAACTAACAACTCTTTTCGGAATATCTCGCACAAAATTTGTACTCTGATAACGTTGTAATTTGGAACAGATATAATTCATCCAACAAATAAAATTCATAAAGAAAAAACTTGTTTTCGAGAAAGGAAATGGCTTTTAAAAAATCACCTCTAAAGTCTTAAACGCACCTATTTAAAAGATCTTGTAATGAGAGTCATGAAATGATTCGTTTGTATTTCCCTTCCTTTTCTTTTTAAAATGTAATCTTCCCATCCTTGTAACATTTAAGCAATAATTCTTTTCTCTTACAGACTTACAGAGGTTTAAAGTAGATGGTTTGGCGGGTGCTCTGGTGTGGTTTGCTCTTTCTCTCCTTTCAAACATCTTTCGTCTTTATCTCTCCTCATTTTTGTGTATGATTATCTCTTGTAACACATCTAATCTTCGGCACTAATATAACCGTGGAGTTGCTGCAAGTCCTGTAAAACTCTTACTAAAAAAAGAGGTTAAAAGAATATTTGTAAAATTTTGGAATTCCAAGAATCAGTGTCCTTCTTTGGACTCGACACATTTTAACGCGTCGTTTGTAACGCTCAGAGGTGGTCAAACAAGGATCCACCCAACCATGAGTATTCAAAGCTACACACACAGTACACCTTGCAGCATGGATTTGTTTCTAGAGGAAACTTAAGGAAAGGAACACTGTCTGCAAACTTCTGTTGGCAGTTAGACTACTGCAGCTTACAATATGGCCCAATCGTTTGGATTTTCAGTGGTACGCCAAATGCAAACTAGTGTGTCATGCTACCTAAATGGGAACATAGCTGAAAATGTCGATTTATCTAAAAATGAATTACCTTTGACTCCAAAAAATGTTGTACACATTTGAAACACAAAACTTCGGTGTGGAGGAAAATATTTACAAAAATAGTTATATATGCTTGTTGGGTTTTTTCAATCACCCTGTATGTGCGTGGTATTCTTTTTTTTTTTTCGCGAATTGTCTATCTCACACTTTTCCTTCTTCCCTGTCGTCTGCGATGAAAATGGTAAGCTCTTTGGCTAGCACTGACCTGACACGAGTTCAATCTCTATGTGAGGAATGGTGTCTTTGAATCTCCTTCTTTTTCTGTTGAGGTATATATCTAGAATCTGTCTCTGCCCTGCTTCATTCTGACAGACATTACTCGTCTACCACAGATCTACGTTGTTTATTGTGGGCATTCCCTATTCTCCGCCATGTTCCATGCTCGTAAAGCATTACAAAACGGCGTTTGTGGTATAGCTATCACCCACTCATATCAGCGAATTTTAAAAAAATGAATCGAAAGGCATAAATGCGCACACTTTCAATATAATTTATTAAATCAAATAATATCTACAACATAACATGCTTTAAAGAAAAAAATAACCACGTGTATATACAATCATTGGCAACGTTTAGCCGCACATCACGCAACAAGTATGCGTATTGTATACATACTGAGCGTAATATTATTATGAAATACGTTTTATTGGTTTCAAAATAATACGAGCATAAAAAAATTAGCTGATAGGATACTTTCAAAGAACATCCAAGAAATCCCAAAGCTTTCAAACTCCAGATGAGCCTACAACAGATAACATAGGCACCACTAACATCCCGGGGTTTTTTTTGGTTCATTACAGACATCAATATATGAGAGGCAAGCATCATAATAATTTGTATAAGGAGCTTGGACACACACCATTGTACGTCACAGTTCGATTTACCCCATGCAAACAGGGGGGTGGACAAGAAAAACATAACAAACTGAAGGGACTAGAGATGAAAACATACAGTATAAACATCACAGTGAGTGTATGAGCACATGGTATGCTGCCTGCTATATACACACAGATCTATCGTAGTAATCTATCTCCGACAAACAAAAAATCCCAACTTGGGGTGGCGTCTTTAGCTAAAAGCCTTGGATATTATTATTATTATGTTTTCTTCTACGTACCTTGCTAGGGGGTAACTGACTGTAAGATCTGCATTTTGTGTTGTACTTTAATTTTTAATACATGGCCGTTTCTTCTACATAGAAAGTAAAATCATTCCTTGCTTGTCAGGGAGCTAGCTGCCGTTCTTGGTGACGCTCTAATATTTACACTGGCTAGAGACTGTGTGATTCTAGTTAATGTTGCCGTAGACGCCTTAATGATTTTGAAGATAACCCGTGCGGCTAGGCCATCTTTAGTTTGTACCAGTAGGCGATTTAAGTGTTTCATGGCCAGCCGTTATGCAATCTATTCGTTCAACACAGGCTGTGCGTTTCTTTGAAAATGTTGTTCTTTCCAAATAGCTGTGCTAGTGTGTCATATTATTATTTCAGTCATAGATATAGGAACAACAAAACACGTGAAAAATCAATGCTAAAAGATTATGAAAATGGTCATGATGACTTAATGATCGACGTGATTTCAGGCGAATGTAGTTATGTGGAGGTATATTATGCTCTGAATAAGCAAAAAAGTTGCTTTTTCTACTTTATAGTATTCTATTTTGCATGGACATTACAAGTAGTAAGATGTGATAAGCCACAATAAGTGAAACAAACCATAAACAAATCACAGATTGCATTTTCTTTAGTTTCGAATGATCGAAGAGTATACAATTAAACTCATTTGATATCTATAAATAATTGCTAGGGCCTCTGTGTTCTGATGATTAGGCTCTGTGGCTTTCAAGTAAAAGACATGAATAAGTTCGATTTACAAGCATTTTCATGTGTCTTTTTGGGTACTGTATCTCACTCAGTGCGAGTTGCCTAAATGAGCATTGTCTAAGTAGTTTGTACAATAAATTGTCTGAATTTTATCGATAGCGGCCTAAAATATTTACAAACAATAGTAACTCGAAATTATCATGGTTCTTAAGACAGTGGCAGCTACGACAACATTCCTGGCTTTTTCAAAAACATGTTATTTTCAAGGCCTCGTGTGAATCTTAAAGTTATAGTCTAAGGAATAACAATGGTATTTAGAAAAATCGTTTCTCCTTTTTTCGTTTGTCCAGAAGGAGGTTATATTCATGATAATGAATCATAGTAAAACAGATTACGGTAAGAATGTTTGGGATAAATGGATTCATCAACACAATCAAAAGCAACCAGGTGATTCGGATAGTGACCCTAAAACATGCATATGAACGAAAATAAACTGGACAGCGTTACAACCAGGATTACAAATGAACAGAGTAGATGAAAAAATTGCGACATGTGTACGGTTGTGTTGTGCTGGACGGACGAGAACTGACTGACGAAAAATTAATACAAACGAGAGTCAAGTACATAGCTTTTCCCACAAAAAACACATAGTTTGTGAAGTGCAATTTACTGTGCTCATTTTTTTTCTTTCGTCGGATAGCTTCATTAAGCATCTTCCATCCTGCACTGCTTACCATGATCGCACACTTAAGGTAAGGAACAATAATAATGTGATTATGTTTATTGTATACAGATCACAGAGAGATGATGAGCACATGGTGCGGGGGCACCAAGGGGTGAACGACAAAAGACTTGTGCGAAAATAAATAAGGGTAAAACTACAAGTCCTTCTGCTTATAATGTATAGAGCATGCCTTCCGTCACAACAAAATGCATTTCTTCGAAGGCTTAAGAATCATCCATTGATATAAAAAAGGAAATTAAAAATCGCTAATAAAAATTGTAACAGTGATAGCAATCGTGGTAAGTTGGTTGACAGCATTTGTATTCGAGATAAGATGGCAGGCTCGCAATCTTAAGATCGTGGATTTGATCTCACGCTCTGCCCTGGATATCTCCGTAACTTTAGTATCTTTAGGGAAATGCATTTTCTCAATTGTTCTTCAATTCACCCGACTAGAAATAGATTCTTTTTAATTGGCAAGGAAGGCCGTGTTAACTATGTTAATAGACTTAACTTCGGTCTAAAATACCGTCATTCAGATCTTAGCGGCGAGGGAAAGGGAGTGGGAGGGGCAGATAGCAAAAATGAACTACATTGCAGGCAACGTGGGTGATAATGAAGTCGGGAGAGTGTTCAATCAGGAGGCACACAAGACTACACTCTCTCCTTTCAACTTTTTCGTGCTGTCTTGAGCAGATGCTGGCGCTTTAGGTGTTATGATAAAATTAGTGGGTGCATAGGCAAAAGACATGGGTTCGATTTAAAGATGAAAAAAAAGTTATTTGATTTGATCAAACACCCCCGTCATCTACCTCAAAAGGCCATTATATCACTCATCCGTCTGGGTTGGCACAGATAAACAGGATCAAAGTCGACCTCGCCCTCCACGGTTAGTATTATTAATCATACCAGTATGTCGGTGTGGGAGTAAGACACGAACAGTACATACAAATGAACAGTTGTGTTCTGCTTTTGTTTAACTGCTCTATACCCGCACATGCTGCTCGCTATAAACATTTTCGTTTTTCATCTTTATTGAACCCAAAAATAAGCGATACACTCAATCTTGTAAAGATGTGTTGATGAATCAACCGTGTATGCAGTAAATTGTTCACAACAAAGGTTGTTTTTGTCTCTTAGAGATAGGCGGTAATTGTTTCAGTTGCGACTGTAGGTGTATGTTGTGGGTGCTGATCTAGTGGGTAAATTGGGGATAGATCAGGTGTTGTCAGTAAAGAGGCGTTGCTAGTAATTGACTCTCTGAAAGGATTCGTTGATGCCGTGTTCAGCCTGGGCAGACGACGGCTGCTTCGGAACGGGTTGCCCTGAAAGTTTGCATATGACGGAAAGTAGGTCACCTTCTCTTCTGAGGCTTGGTCGAGGGGCACAACAGCATTCTCTTTTTCAAAGGCTGCGTTGATAAAGGACGTTACATCTTCTTCCACAGACGAATTTCCACGTTCTGTCCTTGTATGGTACGAGTTCTGTGACGTCACGGATTGGTTATGTCCTTCATCACCAATTGCTTTACCTTCAGAAAGTGGTTTCTCGTTGTCTGATCGTCTTTGTGCTGCCACGATCTCCTCCAGCTCGCTGATGACATCAACATCCCGGAATGACCTCATGGAACTGACGCTGCCAGTGTCCGTGTACCCGGCCGGAGGGTTCAAGGTCGCTGTTGTTTTTGACTCATTCGACATGGGTGTGACACTTGTCAGAAGATCCAGAGCTAGATAATGGGATTGGAGGTTCGAGTTCTCTGTGTTTGATTGAGTGTGGTTTTGTCTGGAAAGTGCCTGATCTACTGGTGAGGAGACTGTCTCAGCCTTACCTTCTCTCCTAGAGTGTGAAAGTGGTGTCGGGTGAGCCGAGGCTCTCTGAGACCCGTCTCTGCTGAGTGTGACAGCATCTTGGAATGGTATAATCTCAGACCGATGAGTCTCGGAAAGTGTTGGAGTCCCGGACATCATACCCTGAATATCGTAGTATGAATGCATGTCGGTAACAAATACGTCATCTAAGTTATCAGAATTCCTAACGTTGTTTTCATTTTCTGATCTGTAGTTATGGTTAATTCTTCTATCCTCTTTTTTCGACTCTCGGTTGTTGACATGCGCACTGTTGGGACCTGAGTACATAATAACACCCATAGAACTCGGCCTCCACTCTCCTCTAGTTGCTCCAGAAGATCTGATAGAAGGTCCATGGCTTTTGGTGCGTTTCTTAAGAGCACAGAGCAGAACAATGAGTAAAGTTAGAGAGATGAGGAGCAGGCCGGACAAGACGATCGTGCAGATGAAGAGGGTGTCCTCCCGGCTGCTGGAACCTCCTGCACTATTTGGAGACGCCCCTCCTGCGCCAGTAGAACCGTTCCTGAGATGGCGTCCTTCCACCTCCAGGTGCACTGTACTGATGGCTGTGTGCATGGGGTCCATTGACCTGGTCCTGTTGTCCTCAAAACTCTCACTCACCTAAGGAATTTTTCATTGAACGCCATACATCAATTTAACCAAATTACACTGATAATGGTAAACATGTCATTGCATTGTCTAATGAGCTTTTTGCATACATCAAACTGTGAATAAAATAGACAAGTATACACTTGATGTGGTATTGGTTTAGCATAAATGTAACTGCTGCAAAACGAAGTGCTTTAAAAATATGGATTTTTGAATGTTAAATACTTTTCCAATAATATAATGGAGGGTCATTAAAAACACAATACAACATCCAAGTGCAAGAACGTTAATTTTGGTATTGATGACTTTAGCAAGCGCATCATAGTGCTAGAGATCATATCATTTGACCTGGTGATGCTCCAAGATCAGTGGCTGAACAGGGGAGAGAGTTTACTGTAGTACATATATGTGTTCATACATCAGGAAATGTTTAAGTGGACTGTCTATAAGGGTATTTTTCTTGTGATGCCAGAGTCACAAATTCAATTGAAAAAAATGGATAATTCAACAAAGGAAAAAAAGGCCCTTTTGAAAGTCGTCCATCAGTTTTGTACACGAAACACCCTTACGTTTCAAAGCAGATGTTTTATTCTCCCATAGACTGAATTTAGATCAATTTTAAGTCTTGATTTTACCCTGCCTATGAGGGACAACCCGAGCTTAGAGGAATACAATGTCCAAGAATACATGATAAAATGTATCCCCACAAAGGAATCGACCCCAGGTAGTCTGCATGCGACATCAAAGCACATGACCGCTTGACCATGGACGCCAGTAAACATTCTTATCTAGGGAAGGGCGTTTCATTATTAAGCAGTATAAACAGGAATAGCTGTAGTAATGACCAAAGTCAATTTGAATTCGTTTAGGTTTAAAACCATCCTTTTTATTATTCAATTTAAAGTTTTGTAGATGAGAATGTAATTTTACATCCTATTTAAACGGAAACTATATCACTACGGAATGCATGGGTATGAACGAGTTGTAAACAGTCTGCTTGAGAGTTGTGAGAGCAAAGATTTACTTACCTCGAGAAGAAAAAATATATCACTGAAATCAGAGTCTTCAAGTGGCTTCAGTAAATGAACACTTCCATTGATGGGGTCAATGGACACATACTGTTCAAAGCCCATCGGTGAACCTGTTCAAGAATTGAAAAAAACGTTTTATTACTTTTCAACACTGTAGTATTTCTTTGACGAGTTGTTTTAAAATATATGTCTCCTATAATCAGAACTATTTCTACTTGAAGGTCCAAGGAAACTACGTGTATCTTCGAAAATAACAGGGGAATCCCCCTTCGCCTCCTCACACCCTATAAACAACAAAAACAAAAATCCCAAAGAAATAAAACATTAAACCAATAAACAATAACACAAAAAAGTACGATGCTAGTACAGATTAGCAAGAAGTTTTCATAGACAGCAAATTAAGACAGTTTGTTTAGTATAGTATACCTATTTTGGGACTCCATACAACATTCACACAGAAAGACGGACACATGTGTCTAGTAATACTATTCATACCAAAGGGTCTTTTTGCAGTACCTGTAACAATCCGAAATGTAACTGGGTCATCATCAGGATCCTGTGCATGAATTTGTTCTGGAGTCAAATCTGTCACTTGCCCCTGTTAAAATACACTATTCTGAGTTAAACTTATTGAACCTTAAGAAGGATAATGCTTATAACTTAATAATGTACGTGGTGTGAGGAAAGCTGTCATGGGCTTGCATACAATATATGTCAATTCGATTCCCTTGAGTCAAAAACGTTTTTATTGTACATTTAAGTCTGAAAGTAAATCCATTTAATATAAATTTTAACGACCTAGAAAGTACAGATTTACAAATAACAATGATATTACGTGATCCGACCTCGGACAATTTTAGAAGACAAAAAAACCCAGGGATACTATAATACGGACCACAGGGTGTCAAGGGAATTAAAGTTAAGTATGAGAGTGCTATAATTGTGTATAATATTGTTAATATTATGATGTGAGCGATGTTTAAATAAAACATTTACCAGCTGTGTTGGACTCACGACCGCCTCGTACCCTATGGAGCCGCAGTCTGCCCGACAGCCGCGGTGCCAGAAGGTCGGTGGATTGTCGTTGACGTTGATCACTGTTATCGTCACTGTTGTACTGTTGGTCAGCCCTCCCTGGTCCTAGCGGGAACAAAAAAGGGATTGTAAACGTGTGTCCTTACAATTAAGAAAGAGAGAGGGACGGGGGGGGGGGAGACAGGGAGACACACAGAGAGAGAGAGAGAGAGAGAGAGAGAGAGAGATAGGGAGAGGGAATAGGGGCTGAAAGAAATTGAGAGAGTGAGAGACATGGGGCACAATAAGAAAGGGCTGGAGGTGTGCGGAAACTAAGAGAGGAGGAATAAATGTTTCCCCCAGATTTAAACATTAACAAATATTGTATATGTTTAAAGAATAAATTATGAGCTAACTTTCGTTTTATTTTGAAATCTCATTTGCCGAAACTCCTCTCTTGGTGAACAGTGAGCTTTTAATTCCTTTCTGTATAAGCTGAACACATAGAAACGTTAAAATCCTGAACAGTTGGCAGTATCGCAAGAGAGCAGAATGAACTGCGAATACACCGTAGCCCGATTCTTTAGCATTGGTTACAGTTTGAGCTACAAGTGCGAGCCAGTTTGCATCCCAATGTCCAGAAAGAAAGTCTAAATAGTAGCTTATTATTGCCCATCCATACTACAGAAAAAGAGCTAAACATTTCCGGGGAACTTTAGCCCACATGTCAAGAACGGTTTACGATAACCGAAGCCCGCAACTTAAATATCAAAGGGCGTTTTCAAAAGCTGAAATATCCTCTCTTCTGGCTGAAAAAGTCGTGACATCCAGACGAACTTGGTACCCATGGGGCTTTTGGTTGAGGACGAGCCAGTCTCTGCTAGACACAAACAAGTCATTCTGGGGGCGCTCCCAAGGGGACTGACAAATTTCGATGGTAAGGTGTTAAAGAGGAATGACATACCAATGGCGGAATGATACGAGAGCCGGGTTCGGAGAATGTCATTTTTTTAATGTTGAACTGGAATGGGTGGGCGTGTGGACAGGTTTTCTAAGACAGTTTAGCTGAACTACAGCATTTGAACGTCTGATGCATTAGTTTTAAACTATTAAGTCTTTGTTAAGAATTCCAGTTTGTTGTGTGGGTACTTTGCATTTTACGTCAGTCCCTGTTTCAATGAAATTCAAGAATTCAAATTGCTCTCTAAGTGAGTGCACTTTTCCAATCAACAACAGAAAGGGAGACAGAGAAGGTAGAGAGAGAGAGAAAGAGAGAGAGAGAGAGAGAGAGAGAGAGGGAGGGAGAGAGAGATGGGGGCGGGACAGTTTTTGCTGGTTGACTTTTCTGAAAATGTTTGCTACTTTTAATATGCTAAAAAATACAAAAGTATATTCACTGGCCAGCTATAGTCACCATGTAAAGAGTTTATGAACAAATATCAAAGTAAAAAGTTACAAGATATATAAAAATGTTCTAGAGGGGCCTCAGAGCTAACAACCATTAATTCCTTTCTCCCATCCCAGTTGCTTTCTCAATGGAGGTTAGGTAAAAAAGTACGATTGCTTGGATATTTCGTTCTAGTGTAATGCCCCCGATCCCGCATCTGCGCCTCCGTCGCCCATCTTCATATTTTTTTTTATAATATAAAGAGAATCACATCAACACGTTTATGGTCATGTAGTGCAGGATAAGATAAGACAAACAGACACATACAACAAAAGGAAAGGAAAAAAAGTAGAACCTACTAATAGTACCGTCCAACCACCCACTTTCCCAATCTCTAGTCCTCTACCTTTCTGAACTCTTTATAAAGAACGTTACTGGCACATACTAATACACGTGTATTTCCAATCAGCAGCAAACAAAGAGCATTGTTCCGGCGCAATTCTACAAATCAAACACAAATCAGAAACCCAAAATTGCAGAATATTTATTTTATCGTATACATGTTATTGCTAGTAAAAAAATTAAAACATCTGTACGAATAACAAAGACAGGTTTCTTTATGGCGTATCCCAAATTATGGTGTCCTCAATAGTTCTCAAACGACAAAAGGCCAAGTTAAAATAACGTACCTTCCTGTGAACATAAGCAAAGCTGTGTACAATAAAAATGAGACAGAGTTTTGG